CTCCTGCCTCCGCCTCCCAGGTAGCTGGGACTACAGGTGGCCGCCACAAAGCCCAGCTATTTTTTGGTTGCAGCTGTCGTTGTTTGGTGGGCCCAGGCTGGATTCGAACCTGCCAGCTCAGATGTATGTAGCTGGCGCCTTAGCTGCTTGAGCCACAGGCACTGAGCCAAGACTTTGTCTTAGAAAAAAAGTTTGTGGGGACGGGTGGCACCTGTGGCTCAGTGGGTAAGGCACTGGCCCCATATACTGAGGGTGGCAGGTTCAAACCTGGCCCCAGTGGAACTGCAGCAAAAAAATGGCCAGGTCTTGTGGCTGGCACCTGAAGTCCCAGCTACTTGGGAGGCTGAGGCAAGAGAATCACCTAAGCCCAGGAGTTGGAGGTTGCTGTGAGATCACGGCACTCTACCGAGGGTGATAAAGTAAGACTCTGTCTCCCCCCCCCCAAAAAAAAGTGTGTGGAGGGGTAGAGGACATGTGAAAAAGGATGAGAAGAAAATACTCCAAATGGTAGTAGTTACTGAGATAAAATGGTAGGATTATAGATCTTTTGGTCTTTTTTATTTTTCCAAACTTACATACATACACAGAGAGAGAAAGAGGGAAACACTTAAAGTAAGTTTGGAAAAATAAAAAAGACCAAAACACCTATAATCCTACCATTTTATGTATATGATACATAATTTATATGTATGTGTGTGTGTATATATATAGAGAGAACAAATGTATATATATTTGAAGCCTGCAGTACCCGGGATTCCCAGGTGGTATCCCATCCAAATACTAACCAGGCTTGACCCTCTTAGCTTCTGAGATCAGATGAGATCAGCACATACCATCAGGGTGGTATGGCCATAGACTAGTGCTTCTATATTTTAAAGGACAAAGTACTAGAACTTTTAGAACAGCAGTACCTAATTTCATGACATTCTTTTAGTCTGTTTTATTAATATTGACATTCAATTTTATTAGTATTGAAGGGTAATTGGTACTCTATGGAGAATTAGCATAATGTGAAGAGTGAAAAGTACTTGCTCACTAGCTGCATTTTTATTCTTGCTCATTTTATCCCTTCCCTTTACATACACTTTTTGAAACAGTGGCAATTTTATTTTTTTTTTTGGTTGCATCCATCATTGTTTGGCGGCCCCAGGCTGGATTTGAACCCACCAGCTCAGGTGTATGTGGCTGGTGCCTTAGCTGCGTGAGCCACAGGTGCCAAGCCAGTAGTAGTAATTTTTTTAAATATTACTCTACACAAAACATGGAAGGAAGAAAAAA